ACGGTCATTTTTTAATATTTTCAATTAAAAAAATATATGCTTAAGCTGTGAGTTAGCGATTGCTATCATGATTTTTCTTGATCGTCTTGATACTCTCTTCAATGTGGTATCAAACAGGATTTGTCCCCTGATTGGTAAGAAATCTGGCCTTGGCTCATGGACTATTATATAATTCGATTACCTAAAGATAATGATGGCATGGGTGGCCTAGTGGTAGTAGTCCAGCTTCTAGTCTAAATGTGGATGCATTATTTTTCAAAACAAAACAAAAAAACTGAGCAAATATGAGTGTACATGTATATTAAATGCAACATATATTGATTTTATCATATTTCACTTCAGATAAGGAATGAGCTGGGTAGAATCCTGGGATTATCAAAAAATGTCACACAAGAGATCAAAAATGCATTTATTGACAAGTGGAGGGGAGGCTTGGATGCTGCTGTTAAAAGATCCAAAAATAAAGACATAAAAAACTGGTCTGCAGCTTTAGAAGACGRTGTTCTAGAGAATGAAACTGGTATGTTTATTTATTTTTGATTTTTTTCTTTTTTTTTACCTGATCAGTATCCTAGTTTATCCAATATTTCACAGTTATTTACTGCTTAGAGGTCAGTCCGTATGGGAAAACACTGCCCATAGTCTTGGAGGCCTTGCTCCTTACATCCAGACCTTTGGCAGTGTTTCCATATATGGGCCTCCCAACTGGCAAATAAAAGTTTAGTTCTTGTCTGCATAGGCTGTGTTTGATGTTTTATACTTTTTTCTGTTAAAATTCCTTTTCTTACATCTGTACAGAAATTTTAAACAGACGAATCATTGGTTCTCTACTGCACCTTCATTGTGAAAAAAAAAGCACAAGTCATCAGTTAGGGCAGTGTTTTTGGGTGTTTGTTGAGGTAAGTTGTAAAGCGTATTATAGATTTGAAGAATGTAGATATTTCTATAATTAAGTAACGTTCTGCTGTGGCCTTTGCTTTGTTTTGATGTTTTTTCTTATTTTTGAAATTCTTATCTGCATAAAGGTTTTTTGTTTGCTTCAGAAAATTTTGCATGATACAAACAATTAATCGGATGAATTACTAGGCATAATGCTGTGACAGTTCCCCCGAAATGTTCCCCAAAACTTGAGAGTAACCCTCAAACTGCATTGTCGGCAACTGTTTGTTTATCTGAACATCCAGTTTCCACAGCCAACTATCACAACAATTTGCACTCGATTTAACTACTCTATTGTAGACATTTTGAGAGTCATATATAGCTTGTACTCATGTAGTTGTGCTTGTGATTGAAATCTTATAATTTCTTTGTTTGTATTTAAGGATGARTCTGATGTTGAAATTGAAAAGATGATTGAAGAGACAACAGCCCCAAGACTACTGTCAACTGGCACTGCAGATGACTTGGGTAGTCTTTTGTTGGTTGCTGAAGGTATGGTTGTATGTACCTTCAGCAAACATTATATACTAAATGCAGTTATAGCTCTGGTAGCAAGCTACTATGCATTCAACATGGCATATCCGAGAGGACCAGGTGGCCAGTGCCAAAATGTTTATCTCTTCTTAGAGCATATTTTTTTGTCTGTTGTATGTGAAGACTTTGCTTCAGCTAAGAGCATGCCCATTGCAGTTGAGAGGGTTTTGGCAGAACTACGCCAATTTTCAAATTAATTTTTTATACTTGAAGTGATCTAGTGTATAGTGTACACTCTACCATTATTAGTAGCAATAGCATGTATTTCATGTTTGAATGCATACCTGTACACCTAATAGCAAAAAAATTGACATTTGTACATTTTGTATTTAGGAACCATTAAAAAGACATAAGTGTTCAGACTCAGTAATCCTCTTCTGTCTTTTTAACGTATTCTTAAATATAAATGTCATTTTTTATGTTACAACGTTTTAGATCTGAATGTGTACGTAAGTATTACATGTACATGTATTTGTAGCTTTAGAGTGTGGACCATACATATACACTTCGTTTCTGCATGCTGTGACAATTGAAGAAAATTAGTAATCCTCTTTTGTCTTCTTTAAATAATACAAACTCTGAAATACCAATGTCCTTTTTTATATTACAACGTTTTTGCAATTAGACCAATATTTTTAAGCTTTATAGAGCGTGGAACATATACACTTAGTTTCTGCATGCTGTAACAATTGAACTAGGTGTGAATACATGTATCAGTTGGTAAATGTATTATCTCTTCTACATTCGAAAATCATTTACATTGTAGGACAAATTTTGTATTAATAATGGTTTTGAATAAATGTTTTTTATATGAAATTATATTAATTATATGTATATGTATTAATAATGGTTTTGAATAAATGTTTTTATATGAAATCTTCCTTTAAAACCGTAGAGAAACTTCTGATGAATCGAACCCTGAAGAAAGCAACAAGGATAAGGCTTTACGTTTGGGCTACCCTTCTTTATGGATGTGAAACCTGGACTGTTAGCGAGAGTATGAATAAACGACTGATGGCAGCGGAGATGTGGTTCTTACGACGTATGTGGAAGGTTCGCTGGTATGATAAGATCACAACGAAGAAGTCCTAAGGAGAGCAGAAACGAGGAGATCATTGATTACCGATATTTACACGAGACAATTGAGCTTCTTAGGCCACATTCTAAGAAAAGAAGGCCTTGAGGGACTTATGTGCACGGGTAGGATAAATGGAAGGAGKAGTAGGGGTAGACCTAGGAAGATGTATTTGGATTCATTGACGAAGATCACCGGGAAGAAGAAACTTGAGCTGCTGCAAGGTTGCCACGATCGTGCAGCATGGTACAATATGATAGCCAACGCCAGATCTGGCATGGCACAATGATGATGATGATGATGATATGAAATTTGTGGCGAAGAGAAATGTTGGTACGAGTCTGATTTAATCGCGTCTTCGCCATACTTACTTAATTACATACAATCATCTACAATCAGTCCATGTACTTTTACATACAGTATCCCATAATTTAATATAACAACAGGGAGCCCAATATATAATGGCGATTACGCGACACTCCCAACAGCAACAAAAAGTACAATATAACAAGTAAAATATAGTCACTAATAGTTCATTCTTGTAACTTTGGTGCGATTTCCTTGAACCACGCCTTTGCCTTTTCAGCAGCTCTTCTACTTGGGCGAATGCTTGCTTGGGGTGGGAGAACATCATTCAGCTTGTCTAGAACTTGATATTTAACAATGCTGTCCTTCTCTGATGAGCACTCCAATGGATAAAGTAAGTTGATAGGTCTTGTCAAGATATTCTTTGAAGGTAGAGTGACTTTGGCAGATCTAATCTGTCCATCTTTGCTAGTAATCAGTTCATTCACCATTCCAAGTCTCCAACTTCCTCGCGGTAAGCTGTCATGGATTAAAACAGCATCGTTAACGTTAATTTGCGGATGAACTCTTTTATGTTTCTTTGGCAAGTTTGGGCTTCTGTGTTTCTCTCGAAGACTGAGTACATATTCATCGGTCCAAATCCTCCAGAAATATTTTAAGTGTTCTTGGCAATGTACCCATGTCTGTAGCAGTGTTTCCTCTGAAGTCTGGTTAATCACAAAGTCTGGATCCTTAGAGTCATATGATGGTAAAGCATCAGGTATTCCTGTCTTCACATCTTCTTTCAATCTTAAAAAGCACTGAGGTGTAAGCACAGTTCCTGAATTGAGGTAATCAGTCATGTACACAAGTGGGTGAGTGTTCAGAATAGCTGAAATCTCAGCTACAGTAGTATTAAATTGATCATAAGTAATGCAAGATCTTTCAAGTGTCCTTTTAAGTGCTTTCTTTACTAACGCGACGAGTCTCTCATAAAAACCACCCATCCAAGGTGCGTTCTCTGTAATAAAGTGCCAATGGATGCTTTGTTCTGCAATGTAATTCTGTACATCATCACATGATTTCACATCGTTCCGGATTTTCGCTGTGCATTTGTCAGCTAGTTTAAGTTGACTTGCGTTGTCTGAGTATATTCGTGTTGGAGTTCCATATAATGATATAAATCTTCTTAGGCATAGGAGAAACTGTTCAGTTGACAAGTCTCTTATTACTTCCAAATGGATAGCGCGAACAGTCAAACATGTGAAGAGACAAATCCATACCTTGCTTATCTCTCCTAAATCGTTTCTAATGTTCAAGGGTCCTATGTAGTCTAATCCTGTCTCTGCAAATGGTTGTGTCTTACTGGTTACTCTTTGTACTGGTAGTGGAGGCATCGGTGGCATCTGGTAAGGTCCACTTTCCCAACGTCTACAAATTCTGCAGTCACGTTGAACTCTCTTTACAGCAGCACGTCCTTGTGGAACACAGTATTGTTGTCTTAGTTGTGCTAATGTATGTGAAATRCCAGCGTGAGCAACTTTCTTGTGTGCTTCTTTGATTACTAACTCAGTAAAGTATTCTTTCTTGGGCAACAGTATTGGGTTCTTTGCAGTTATGCTAATATCACTATTACTTATACCCCATTCACACCAACTAAACTTGTTTAATTAAACTTTGTTTTCAGCTAACCATGATTAACTAAACTTGATTTAAATAATTTCCGTTCACACCAACTAAACTAGTTTACCGTTCATGTGACTCGATTTCATGTGACAAAATGTTTTACGACCCCACTCCCTATGGTAGAATTTGCAAGCCTAGACAGCCAAAACGTCAGCAAAGATGGCCGACGAGAGTGCCTTGTTTACATTTTTCATGGCCCAAAAACATGTTGAAAAGAAGACTCTCCTCAGAAAAAATGTTTTGCAAAGGCAAAGAAATGATCATCTCCGTCGTCGTATCAAACGAAAACGAGAAGTTTTCTTTTTTCTATYSACTTTTTTTAGTTTTATCGAGCGCATGCCGATACGCGAAGTCTGGTCACTACCGCGCTCTGATGGCTTTTGGTTCATCACGATGAGATCCTGGAGCGACAGGGAATGGCTAGAAAACTTTTAAGTTTAAAAGAATGTCCAAAGAATCGTTTGAAGTACTCWGTCATGAGTTGGCACCTCACATAAGAAAAAAAGACACGAACTTTCGCAAAGCAATTCCAGTGGCAGTGAGAGTTGCAATTACTCTATATCGTTTGGGTGACACTGCACATTTTCGGACAATTTCCCACTTGTTTGGTGTTGGCAAATCAACTGTTTGCTGTATTGTGAGACAAGTCTGTCAGTGCATCGTAGACGTACTTCCAAGATTTGTACAGTTACCTAGTACAAAGCAAGAGGTAGAGGAGCAAATGCAGGGATTTGAGGAGCGAGCCGGGTTCCCACAAGTTGTTGGAGCTGTCGATGGCTGCCACATACCRATCATGAAACCTAACCAAAATCCTGAAGATTACGTTAATCGAAAGAAATTCCATTCAATAATCCTTCAAGCTTTGGTGGACAACCTGTATTTGATTAGAGATATTTGTGTTGGATGGCCTGGTAAAGTGCACGATGCGCGCGTATTCAAAAATTATTTACTGCCTGCTGTGAAAGAAGTTTTCTCCCCCAACAATCTGGCAAAGTAATCACAGGACGACGAGTACCACCACTTATCCTGGGTGATTCTGCTTATGGTTTACAGGATTGGCTCATGAGACCATATAAAGATCAAGGTATTTATAACAGCACAGGTTATTCTTATTCTGCAAAAATATATTTCTAAATATTTATTTGTAGGCAATTATATCATGTATTTTCATTCATTATTTTGGGTCTGCAACAGCCTTTTTCTGATAAACAAATTCAAAATTATTTTATTCTTGAATCTAGGAAATCTACAAATATATCTGTTTATGAGTGTTATAGACATGTACGCTTTGTATAGAAATACTGAGAGCATATAGCTGTCCATTCAGTGCATGAAATATTGAGTGTATATACAAATGATTTCATAGAAGTCATGGATATTGAGAGCTGGGACACAAACAGACAAATAAAAAAGGCACAATAAGACAAAATGAAAAATTATAGAAAAAAGCTTAACCAAAAGATTGATCAGCAAATCAATAGCATTTGAATTAATTTTAATAAAAATGTCAATATTACTAAATTATTAAGCTGTGCTTTATAGCCTAGCTGCTTTACCAAATACAGTTTTACTGATCACTAATCGGATTAAGTTGACAGGACCTAGGGACACTGATGACAGATTAGCTCTGGCCGAGCGAGTCTTCGTAGGCCCGAATGTGACCTCGTCASAGDTYGGGATTTGAACTAAAACGCTCTCGTCTTGAGGATGGTCAAAACTATCGCCATTTAAATGGACAAAGTGTCTGGCCGAAATCTAAGTTCAAGTCCATTTGGAAGAAACCGAAATGAAAGCTAAATGTTAGTCGTAAAGCACCGTTAACAAACAAGTTTATGCGACTGACACTTTGAATATAATGCTGCTTAACAAGCTTTAAAATGTACTGWTTCTATTTCTCAATTCAACGTTTTTAAACACGAATTCAACACACTCACATTTTAGTTTCATATGTAACAAAAATTATTGACGAGCGCTTCGCTCAACTTTTAGATGACTTTCGATTCGAAAACCGACGAGTTATAAAACATCGCGACGGTAGCGTATTTACTATTTCGGGCCTACGAAGACTCGCTCGGCCAGGACTAATCTGTCATCAGTGTCCCTAGGTCCTGTCAACTTAATCCGATTAGTGAGTCAGACGAGTGGTCAAAGGGGCCGCTAGTTATTGCCTGCCCCTGTCTCTTTTGGTGTTCGGCCAGGGCAAAGTGATTTTAATCCGGTTAATGAATAACGTTCCTGGCGAGACAGCAGTGGCTGGTACAACAAGGACAGCGGTAATAAATTCAGCAACAACCGCTTGAGTAACGATCATTTGGATGAATTTCGTAAAATCAAGTGCTTTTTAGTGTCTAAGAGGACATTTCAGTGTATATTTCAGATAAGTAAAACTTTATAATTTATTATCGACTATCTTTTGTTGGATAAATTAAGCAATTTTTGGATCTTATAGGTCATAATTTCAGTTCTAGCGCCCTTG